TGGCTCGGGGGAGGGAGGGTGGAGAAGCCCCGGAGGATGAACCATACTGAGGACGTGGCCTGTTCAGGCTGAGCCTCACGCCAATGGAGTGGTGTGGGTGGGGGCTTCTCTTGCGGATGAGGCTGTGTAACAACAGCAAATATTTATATTGGTACAGCAGCCACAGTGCTGGACCTAGAAGCAGGGAGACCTGAGTTCAAATTCTGCTTCAGACAAGGGCTAGTTTAGCTGCATGACCATGGGCAAGTCTCTTAGCCTCGGTTTCCTCATCTGTAAAATAGAGGTAATAAGAGCACAGAGATGTTGTAAGAATCAAATAAGATAACATACATAAAGCACTTTGGAAAAACCCCAAAGCTCTCTAGGGATACTATCATGTAATAATAATACTTGCATTGAAGTAGCACACTGTTTTCCCGAAGTGTTTTGCATGTATCCAGCGATTTGATCCTCAGAGAAGCCCTGATTTTTTGTATGTTGACGTGGCCGGGGTGTTGGCTTCCCCATTTTCTATGTGAGGGGCTTGAGGCTGGGACAGGCTGTCCTTAATAATAATAACTCCTTTTCATAGTGCTCCTAAAGTGACTTATGGCTCAGTGCGGTGGTTCGAATGTAGTAAGTGCTTAATAAATGCTTGTTGACTTGACTTGCTCATGTGTGAGAGGTAATGTGGCCTCTTGGATGGAGTTGTTGAGTCATTTCAGTCATGTTCCACTCTCTGGGACCCTATTTTGGAATGGTTTGCCATTTCCTTCTCCAGGTTATTTTTCAGATAAGGAAACTGAGGCACACAAAGTCGAATGACTTGCCCAGGGTCACACAGCTAGGAAGTGTCTGAGGCAGGATTTGAACTTGTGAAGATGAGTCCACCTGATTTCAACCTCAGTGCTCTATCCACTGTGGCGCCACCTAGCTGCTTGAATGAAGAGCCCCCAACAAAGTAATGCTCATCTTAGAGAGCAGGGCCCCTTTTATTTGGGGGGCGGGGCAGTGTGGCGTAGTGGTTAGAGAGTTGGCTTCAGATCCAAGTGGACCTGACTGTGTGACCCTGAACAAGTTAGTTACCCAGTCAGAGTCGCAGGCAACTCCCTAAGACTCTAAGTTACAAAGCAGGGTCCCACCACAGCGAGGGAGGGAGTTTCCTTATCCCCAGGTCCCTCTGGTCAGGAAAAGGAGCTGAGTCCTGCTAAGTCCCTGCGTATTCACTCAGTGCAGTCTCAGGCTGCTGGGGACGTTGGTGCTGACGCAGCCTCATCAGACCCCTCTCTCCCCTCCGCCCGTCTGTCACCCTCCCCACCAGCTCCACCCATCAGGACCCTGGAAGATTCTCAAGGGAAGCTGCTCGTTAAAGCATGGAGAGGGGAGGCTCCCTGGGAGGACTCCTCCTGGCTCAGCCTCTCCCTCCCTCCCTCCCTCTTTCTCTCTTTGACGTCCCCCAAGAGTGTTTGTTTTTGTTACAGTCTGTCCCCCTAGCCCGCCTCTCCTGCCTTCCGAGTTGGGCATTAGTGGGCTACTCCTTACTTGCTGATGCCTAATTCATATCATCAGCTGGCTCCCTGAGTAATTAGGGAGACCACGGGGGAGAGGGGGAGCCCTCTGGAGCCAAGAGGTGCTGGCCAAGGCAGGGGGAGAGTGGGCAGAGCTGAGCATGGAGAAGTTCTACCCATGCCTGGAATTCTGGGAATGTATTTCTCGGAGGGTTGTGAGAGTGGGAAGAGGACCAGGGATGGGGAGAGATCTATTAGCTTTGTCTTCCTGGGAAATCACTTTTACTCCGAGGAGTTTCCTCTCATGTAGAACGATGGGGCGGGACTCAGTGGTCTCCAGGGTCCTTTCCAGTTCTGAATCTGTGCTTCTCATCACTCATTTGTTCCATGACTTTGGACAAGTCACTTCATACCCTCTCTGGTCCTTGTTTTCCCTGTGTGTAAAATGAGGGGGTCTCTAAAGGTCTTTTTTAGCTCAAAATCTTGGCTCCTTGTTACTGAAGTCTTGTGTTGGTCAGTAAGTCTATTAAACATTTATTAAGCACTTGCTGTGTGCCAGGCACTGTGCCAAGGGTTGGGGATACATGGAGAGACAACAGGATTCTTGCCCTCAAGAAGCTGCCATTCTAACGAAAAAGAAAACCAGGTCTATACAAGATAGGTTGATGTAAATGGATGGGAATCTCAGGGAAAGGCCTGGGGGAGGCCTCCCGAAGAAGGTAGGATTAGAGCTGAGTGTTGAAGGAAGACGAAGAAACCAGAAGGGAGAGCATTCCAGGCATGGGGAAGGGGCATGCGTCAGTCCAGAGGCTCATTGTTGAGAAATGGGGTCATGGCAAGGTGGCCAGTGGAGTTGGGTCATAGATTAGGTGGAAGTGTAAGAAGATTGGAAAGGTAGGAAGGGACCAGGTTAGGAAGGCTTTTGATAACAAAGGAGCTTACATTTGATCTTGGAGATAATGAGAAGGAACCACTGGAGTCTATTGAGGAAGGGGGTGAAGTGGTCAAACCTGACCTTTAGGAAGGTCATGAATGGGGGATGGGCTGGAGGGAGGAGATGCTGGAGGCAGGGAGAACCAACCCCAGGCTGTTGTCCAGGCGTGAGGTGATGAGGGTCTCTATGAGAACAGTGGCTGTGTGAGTAGAGAAGACTAGGGAGAAATGACAAGATTGGGCCACCATTGGCCATCTGGGCTGAGTGAGCTGGAGGACTAAGGATGGGTGACACCAAGGTGGCAACTGGGAGGACTTTTCTGAAATCACCATCTCTTGTTTTTACATCACCTTCACTTCCCAGCGTGGCGCTGCCCACCTCCCCTTTCCCTGGGAGCCATCCCCTGTAATGAAGGACAAATAAGGAATCAAGAGGAAAGAGAAGTCCGTAAAACAAGCTCACACATCAGCCACGTCTGGCAGGATGATTTGAGAAACACTCAAGAAGTCTTCATACTTCATGGGGCATAGCCCTAGAACAGGAAGGGTCCTCCTGGGCCATCTGGTCTAATTCCTTCACTTTTAAGATGAGGGAACTCTCACACAGGTAGTGACACTGGAGGCAGGATTTGAACCCAGCTCTTCTGACAGTAAAGTGAAAGTTCTTTCCACTGCACCACGTTGCCTCCCATAAGTGCAGTGTTCTGTACCCATAGGTTTCCACCTTTACAAAGAAGAGAAGGAGATGCATTTTTCCATCTTTCCTTCAGGGCTAGTCTTGGTAACCTTATAGTCACCACAATGTACACATTTGAAACCAGGGTCAAGAGCACAGGAAGCCTGGGTCCTACTCCTAATTCTTCCTAGTAACTAGCCGTGTGACCTTGGGCAGGTCTCTTAACTTTTCTGAGTTTCCATTGTCTCTGAATCTATCAAATTAGGCTACTGGGCTACATGACCTCCAGGGGTCTTTCTGACCCTACATGCTAGGAAGTGGTAAGGGGTTCAGATTGTGGTGAGAACCACTTACCTGTGAATAAGTAATGGGTCAGACCAATAAAACCAGATTGCTTTGATGTCTTTTTGTGTGTCTAGACCCAGTGGAGAAAACCACCAGTAAAAAAAGGTGTGTTGGACTAGAGGGTAGCCCCTTCCAGCTCTAGGTCCATGATGCCTCTTGCTCCAAGGGTGATGGGCAATTTTTCTGCAACTTAGTCTTGGCAAGTTGCCTGGGCCCAGAAGGCCAGGGTCACATCTCAATCAACCCTCTGTCCTCCATGATGTGCTGCCTCTCAGTAGACACTCGCTTACTCAAGAAGCATCCAAGACAAGTATACCCCCTACTCCAGTGCTGTAAGCGGGTCCCTTCTTGGGTCTGATGCCAGAAAGTCCCAAACACGTGTAGGAACCCTCAGAGACTCCACCCAGCTCCACCCAGGCAGCCAATGGCTTCTGGATGGCCAGTAGGAGTTAGAGGTCATGGGGTTTTATGCCAAAGTCAACATGGGGAGCTGGACTCTGGCCAATCTTAGGGGAAGCCAATAAAGCTCAGTCCTGGTATTGTCCGGAATCCCTTGGGTCTGGGGGCTGTGCTCATGGATGATATTCAGTGGCTACTCTAGCTGTCTTCATCTCCTCATCCCCTTTCCCTGAGCGGGAGGGCCCCAGTTCAACTTGCATGCCTCAGTCATGAAGGCATCAAGTCGTGGGCGACGTGCAGTATTGGCATCATTACCCAGAATGGGTAAAGAGCCACAGATCGTGGGTGGGCTTTAGCCTCTCCTGCCTGGCCCCGGCTCTCCATCCTTCACACTATCTCAGGGAGCACCATTGCCCTGTCCAGCCTTCCTGCCAGCTGGGGCTTACTCATTGGGCTACGTGGGTATCTGGTCATCTGAAAGGATGGCAGTGAGCCTTGGGGAAGCTTTTGTGCCCAGTCAGTTGTGGTCAGTGAGAACAACAGCAGGATGGAGGTTAACCTAAACAGTGGATAAAGGACTCAACTCATTCAGGTTGAGCAGTAAGAGAGATGGTCATCTACTCCACCTTTACTCTCTCCTTCCACTCCCCTACCCAACTCACACACACAGAGGTATTGGAAAGAACACTAGAGAGGAGGTCAAAAGATGTGTTCTCATTCTTATATTATCTGTTTTCAGGTCCCTCTCAGCTATGATGTTCTCTCTTCTAAGGCCCTTCCCAGTTCTGACATGCTATGTTCTAAGCTCCTTCCCACTTCTCATATTACGTTATTCTAAGGCTCCTCTCATCTCTGACATTCCATGTTCTAAGGCCCCTCCCAGCTCTGACATTCCAT